AATATTAGGTTATTCGATGGTACGTAATATCCATAGACTAGTAATGGTTGATCGGAAATAAATCAAGGACCTTATATGAAGCCGTCTCAAAACTATGGTTCGAAGACTATCAAAATCAAAACACTTTATTTAGCAAGCAATTTAGCAAAATATGGATTTAAGCATCATAAATTTTTCGATAAATATAATATACCACAAATGTCATCTAAAGCATTCCATATTTAAAAGAAAATATGAGGCTTTAACCGGTGACCATTAAAAGAACACGAGGAGTAAAGAGAAAAAAGAACGAAAATAATGAAAATGAACAAAATTTTAGAAATGAGAAAGAATTGTAAAAAAAAATTGGGACATTTACAAAAATGCCACTTTTGGTGTGCACATTTGCAAGAATGCCATTTAAGAGTATCCATTTACAAAAATGCCACTAATTATAGATTTATAAAGCCTATATCTTAAAATTCTAAACCCTAAAAAATATTTTGACACCTAAAACCCTCTAAACACTCAAAACTAAACCCTAATAGAACATAATTAACCCAAACATAAATAATATAAAGAAAATATAATTTTGAAAAAGTGGCATTTTTGTAAAGATTTCAAAAGTGTGACATTTTTGTAAAGTGGCACTTGAAAAATGGCATTTTTTAAAATTTCTCTAAAAAATTTGGTTTCTTTTGTTCTTTCTCAAGTTTGATTGGGATTATTTTTGTTCCGTAATTCTCTGTAAGCGAGGAAAACTCATAGCTACATATAACAAAAGTTCCTTATAAATGATATAATTTTTTAAAAAATGAAAAAGAATTAAATGTTCATTTTTTTCTTTTTTAAGTGGTTACCATTTAGAACATGAGTTCTGTTGGACATATACCAATATCGATGATTTTCTCAAAACATATAACACAAGAGATAACATGATTATATTATATTCAATTTTCAAGCATTGGTTTATATATGTATGACATTTTTTATTCTCAAATTTATTTAAATACAAATTTGTTGTGCTTTTAAATAATGCCAAAACATAGACAAATTTTTGTTCTGTTTTATAAAAAAAAAAAAAATTGTAGCTATTTCAAATGACCCTTACAAAAAGAGACAAACAAGCAAAAAAAACGAATTTAAACCATAAATGATAAATTCAAAGGATGATAATTTAATTCAGATATTTTTTTTTAGAGAGGATGGTGGCAATTCAGTGTAAAAGCAATGTATTAAGGGGCAAAAAAGGAAACAAATATTGTGTTCAATCTCCTCTCTCTCCATCTGATCATCACTCCTTTTAAATCACCATCAAAGAAATTCCAATTTCCTCGG